GAAAGAGGCAAGACCAAAACACTAGGACAAGAAAGAACAAGGGAACTATTGCTTTAAAATAAATACCACGGTAATGATTACTCTGCATAATGTACAGTTACAAATATATAAATATTCACTTCCTTGCCAGGGTTGCAAGCATCACTCACTGGTAACTAGCTCTGCTGGAGCTGTTCAGTACTGGAACTCAGTGGGAGAAGCAATTCCTGTGCCTTACAAACCCATGGGCACTTTTCTCCTTTTGCAGTGAGGGACCATGAGGAAAAGGAAAGGTAAAGTATCTCTGCCAGAGGGAGGCAAAAATCTCTAAGCCAGATCCAAGCCAAGGCAGCAGCAGCTGCTGGTCTTGCTGGCTGTGGCTTCCCAGCACTCAGTTGGTCTTTTCCTTGGTGAAAAGAGAGAGAAAATGGATGATTCTCTCCAAAATATCACTGGCTGATCTGCAGAGTGGGAGCCTGAGCCCTCAGTGCTGAGATGTCCTTGTGCTCTCAGGGACAAGAGTGTGCTCAGCCTCAGGTCGGAACTAGGAACAGCACTGAGTCTGGGACTGCTGTGCTGTGTCCAGAGGTTCTCAGGGACCCTGTCCTAAAGGCTTTCTGTATTTCAAGGAGGATGTGGAAGAATGGAGGAAAAATGTAGGATTTTTTTTTTGTGGGACAGGGGAAAGTTCTGGCCAGAGGGACCATCAGCTGGGGTGGAGAAGGGAGCAAAGACCTTTACTCCTGTGATGGGGGAAAGGCACCAAAAAGGAGTAACTCCAGGATCCTTTATGCAATTCCTTAGATAAAAGTACTGGGTTTTTAACTACAAAGAGGAGCTGCTTTGGTGTGGCAGGAGTGGGGGGAGGCAGAGGCTGCTGAGAGCAGATGGACTAGTGCTTTCCCTGAAAGTGCCAAAGCTGTCAAGAAGCACCAAAGGTAAAGTCAGGATCCAGAATTCCTGTCACATCACCTCCCACACACTGTCCTGCTCTGTCCATCTCTAAGGACACTGAGGCTGCTCTGCCTTTGCCTTCTCAGGGTCCAGGTCTCTCTGGCTTTACTCAGAGTTCTAAAACAGAAGCAGACCTCCTCTGCTGCAAGCAATGAGTGCACTGGCACACAGAGACCCCTGAGAACAAGGCCC